CACCACAGCCTCCTCCATCCACTCGTGTCATGGCGGATCAATCGTCTTGTCTGTCCATCAAACGAGGTCCTAAAGAAAGAAAGAGGTGCTACCGATCGATGTCATGTCGCTAATCAACCAGACTGAACGAGTCACATGGCAGTCCAACCCAGTTGTGTTACTCCATCACCATGGTACTGCCCATTGGTTTCTATCCGAGAAGAGATAGTATGGACTGAATTGCGAACACGCGGTAACGTCCGACCCTCAGCCTGCCCGATTCGAGTGGTCGAGAATGGTGCGCCTTGTTCTAGAGCCAATCCAGCTGATAAACCACTGTAACGAAGAGACGGAAAAAGTGCGGCTCTAAAGAGATCGGGACTGCATCCGTTTCGATCGCATCATTGGTAGTCGCCCACCGTGGGGCTCGAACCCACGACCACAAGATTAAGAGTCTTGCGCTCTACCGACTGAGCTAGACGGGCTTCGCACACGCGTGCACACTTCTCCGAAAAATCACGCAAACAAACACCCACGGGGTTTGCCATGCTCACCTGTCCTCCACCACAGCCTCCTCCATCCACTCGTGTCATGGCGGATCAATCGTCTTGTCTGTCCATCAAACGAGGTCCTAAAGAAAGAAAGAGGTGCTACCGATCGATGTCATGTCGCTAATCAACCAGACTGAACGAGTCACATGGCAGTCCAACCCAGTTGTGTTACTCCATCACCATGGTACTGCCCATTGGTTTCTATCCGAGAAGAGATAGTATGGACTGAATTGCGAACACGCGGTAACGTCCGACCCTCAGCCTGCCCGATTCGAGTGGTCGAGAATGGTGCGCCTTGTTCTAGAGCCAATCCAGCTGATAAACCACTGTAACGAAGAGACGGAAAAAGTGCGGCTCTAAAGAGATCGGGACTGCATCCGTTTCGATCGCATCATTGGTAGTCGCCCACCGTGGGGCTCGAACCCACGACCACAAGATTAAGAGTCTTGCGCTCTACCGACTGAGCTAGACGGGCTTCGCACACGCGTGCACACTTCTCCGAAAAATCACGCAAACAAACACCCACGGGGTTTGCCATGCTCACCTGTCCTCCACCACAGCCTCCTCCATCCACTCGTGTCATGGCGGATCAATCGTCTTGTCTGTCCATCAAACGAGGTCCTAAAGAAAGAAAGAGGTGCTACCGATCGATGTCATGTCGCTAATCAACCAGACTGAACGAGTCACATGGCAGTCCAACCCAGTTGTGTTACTCCATCACCATGGTACTGCCCATTGGTTTCTATCCGAGAAGAGATAGTATGGACTGAATTGCGAACACGCGGTAACGTCCGACCCTCAGCCTGCCCGATTCGAGTGGTCGAGAATGGTGCGCCTTGTTCTAGAGCCAATCCAGCTGATAAACCACTGTAACGAAGAGACGGAAAAAGTGCGGCTCTAAAGAGATCGGGACTGCATCCGTTTCGATCGCATCATTGGTAGTCGCCCACCGTGGGGCTCGAACCCACGACCACAAGATTAAGAGTCTTGCGCTCTACCGACTGAGCTAGACGGGCTTCGCACACGCGTGCACACTTCTCCGAAAAATCACGCAAACAAACACCCACGGGGTTTGCCATGCTCACCTGTCCTCCACCACAGCCTCCTCCATCCACTCGTGTCATGGCGGATCAATCGTCTTGTCTGTCCATCAAACGAGGTCCTAAAGAAAGAAAGAGGTGCTACCGATCGATGTCATGTCGCTAATCAACCAGACTGAACGAGTCACATGGCAGTCCAACCCAGTTGTGTTACTCCATCACCATGGTACTGCCCATTGGTTTCTATCCGAGAAGAGATAGTATGGACTGAATTGCGAACACGCGGTAACGTCCGACCCTCAGCCTGCCCGATTCGAGTGGTCGAGAATGGTGCGCCTTGTTCTAGAGCCAATCCAGCTGATAAACCACTGTAACGAAGAGACGGAAAAAGTGCGGCTCTAAAGAGATCGGGACTGCATCCGTTTCGATCGCATCATTGGTAGTCGCCCACCGTGGGGCTCGAACCCACGACCACAAGATTAAGAGTCTTGCGCTCTACCAACTGAGCTAGACAGGCTTCGCACACGCGTGCACACTTCTCCGAAAAGTCACGCAAACAAACACCCACGGGGTTTGCCATGCTCACCTGTCCTCCACCACAGCCTCCTCCATCCACTCGTGTCATGGCGGATCAATCGTCTTGTCTGTCCATCAAACGAGGTCCTAAAGAAAGAAAGAGGTGCTACCGATCGATGTCATGTCGCTAATCAACCAGACTGAACGAGTCACATGGCAGTCCAACCCAGTTGTGTTACTCCATCACCATGGTACTGCCCATTGGTTTCTATCCGAGAAGAGATAGTATGGACTGAATTGCGAACACGCGGTAACGTCCGACCCTCAGCCTGCCCGATTCGAGTGGTCGAGAATGGTGCGCCTTGTTCTAGAGCCAATCCAGCTGATAAACCACTGTAACGAAGAGACGGAAAAAGTGCGGCTCTAAAGAGATCGGGACTGCACCCGTTTCGATCGCATCATTGGTAGTCGCCCACCGTGGGGCTCGAACCCACGACCACAAGATTAAGAGTCTTGCGCTCTACCAACTGAGCTAGACAGGCTTCGCACACGCGCGCACACTTCTCCGAAAATTCACGCAAACAAACACCCACGGGGTTTGCCATGCTCACCTGTCCTCCACCACAGCCTCCTCCATCCACTCGTGTCATGGCGGATCAATCGTCTTGTCTGTCCATCAAACGAGGTCCTAAAGAAAGAAAGAGGTGCTACCGATCGATGTCATGTCGCTAATCAACCAGACTGAACGAGTCACATGGCAGTCCAACCCAGTTGTGTTACTCCATCACCATGGTACTGCCCATTGGTTTCTATCCGAGAAGAGATAGTATGGACTGAATTGCGAACACGCGGTAACGTCCGACCCTCAGCCTGCCCGATTCGAGTGGTCGAGAATGGTGCGCCTTGTTCTAGAGCCAATCCAGCTGATAAACCACTGTAACGAAGAGACGGAAAAAGTGCGGCTCTAAAGAGATCGGGACTGCATCCGTTTCGATCGCATCATTGGTAGTCGCCCACCGTGGGGCTCGAACCCACGACCACAAGATTAAGAGTCTTGCGATCTACCAACTGAGCTAGACAGGCTTCGCACACGCGTGCACACTTCTCCGAAAAGTCACGCAAACAAACGCCCACGGGGTTTGCCATGCTCACCTGTCCTCCACCACAGCCTCCTCCATCCACTCGTGTCATGGCGGATCAATCGTCTTGTCTGTCCATCAAACGAGGTCCTAAAGAAAGAAAGAGGTGCTACCGATCGATGTCATGTCGCTAATCAACCAGACTGAATGAGTCACATGGCAGTCCAACCCAGTTGTGTTACTCCATCACCATGGTACTGCCCATTGGTTTCTATCCGAGAAGAGATAGTATGGACTGAATTGCGAACACGCGGTAACGTCCGACCCTCAGCCTGCCCGATTCGAGTGGTCGAGAATGGTGCGCCTTGTTCTAGAGCCAATCCAGCTGATAAACCACTGTAACGAAGAGACGGAAAAAGTGCGGCTCTAAAGAGATCGGGACTGCATCCGTTTCGATCGCATCATTGGTAGTCGCCCACCGTGGGGCTCGAACCCACGACCACAAGATTAAGAGTCTTGCGATCTACCGACTGAGCTAGACGGGCTTCGCACACGCGTGCACACTTCTCCGAAAAGTCACGCAAACAAACGCCCACGGGGTTTGCCATGCTCACCTGTCCTCCACCACAGCCTCCTCCATCCACTCGTGTCATGGCGGATCAATCGTCTTGTCTGTCCATCAAACGAGGTCCTAAAGAAAGAAAGAGGTGCTACCGATCGATGTCATGTCGCTAATCAACCAGACTGAACGAGTCACATGGCAGTCCAACCCAGTTGTGTTACTCCATCACCATGGTACTGCCCATTGGTTTCTATCCGAGAAGAGATAGTATGGACTGAATTGCGAACACGCGGTAACGTCCGACCCTCAGCCTGCCCGATTCGAGTGGTCGAGAATGGTGCGCCTTGTTCTAGAGCCAATCCAGCTGATAAACCACTGTAACGAAGAGACGGAAAAAGTGCGGCTCTAAAGAGATCGGGACTGCACCCGTTTCGGTCGCATAATTGGTAGTCGCCCACCGTGGGGCTCGAACCCACGACCACAAGATTAAGAATCTTGCGATCTACCAACTGAGCTAGACAGGCTTCGCACACGCGTGCACACTTCTCCGAAAAATCACGCAAACAAACGCCCACGGGGTTTGCCATGCTCACCTGTCCACCATCACAGCCTCCTCCATCCACTCGTGTCATGGCGGATCAATCGTCTTGTCTGTCCATCAAACGAGGTCCTAAAGAAAGAAAGAGGTGCTACCGATCGATGTCATGTCGCTAATCAACCAGACTGAACGAGTCACATGGCAGTCCAACCCAGTTGTGTTACTCCATCACCATGGTACTACCCATTGGTTTCTATCCGAGAAGAGATAGTATGGACTGAATTGCGAACACGCGGTAACGTCCGACCCTCAGCCTGCCCGATTCGAGTGGTCGAGAATGGTGCGCCTTGTTCTAGAGCCAATCCAGCTGATAAACCACTGTAACGAAGAGACGGAAAAAGTGCGGCTCTAAAGAGATCGGGACTGCATCCGTTTCGATCGCATCATTGGTAGTCGCCCACCGTGGGGCTCGAACCCACGACCACAAGATTAAGAGTCTTGTGATCTACCAACTGAGCTAGACAGGCTTCGCACACGCGTGCACACTTCTCCGAAAAGTCACGCAAACAAACGCCCACGGGGTTTGCCATGCTCACCTGTCCTCCACCACAGCCTCCTCCATCCACTCGTGTCATGGCGGATCAATCGTCTTGTCTGTCCATCAAACGAGGTCCTAAAGAAAGAAAGAGGTGCTACCGATCGATGTCATGTCGCTAATCAACCAGACTGAATGAGTCACATGGCAGTCCAACCCAGTTGTGTTACTCCATCACCATGGTACTGCCCATTGGTTTCTATCCGAGAAGAGATAGTATGGACTGGGTTGCGAACACGCGGTAACGTCCGACCCTCAGCCTGCCCGATTCGAGTGGTCGAGAATGGTGCGCCTTGTTCTAGAGCCAATCCAGCTGATAAACCACTGTAACGAAGAGACGGAAAAAGTGCGGCTCTAAAGAGATCGGGACTGCACCCGTTTCGATCGCATAATTGGTAGTCGCCCAACGTGGGGCTCGAACCCACGACCACAAGATTAAGAATCTTGCGATCTACCAACTGAGCTAGACAGGCTTCGCACACGCGTGCACACTTCTCCGAAAAATCACGCAAACAAACGCCCACGGGGTTTGCCATGCTCACCTGTCCACCATCACAGCCTCCTCCATCCACTCGTGTCATGGCGGATCAATCGTCTTGTCTGTCCATCAAACGAGGTCCTAAAGAAAGAAAGAGGTGCTACTGATCGATGTCATGTCGCTAATCAACCAGACTGAACGAGTCACATGGCAGTCCAACCCAGTTGTGTTACTCCATCACCATGGTACTGCCCATTGGTTTCTATCCGAGAAGAGATAGTATGGACTGGGTTGCGAACACGCGGTAACGTCCGACCCTCAGCCTGCCCGATTCGAGTGGTCGAGAATGGTGCGCCTTGTTCTAGAGCCAATCCAGCTGATAAACCACTGTAACGAAGAGACGGAAAAAGTGCGGCTCTAAAGAGATCGGGACTGCATCCGTTTCGATCGCATCATTGGTAGTCGCCCACCGTGGGGCTCGAACCCACGACCACAAGATTAAGAGTCTTGCGATCTACCAACTGAGCTAGACAGGCTTCGCACACGCGTGCACACTTCTCCGAAAAGTCACGCAAACAAACGCCCACGGGGTTTGCCATGCTCACCTGTCCTCCACCACAGCCTCCTCCATCCACTCGTGTCATGGCGGATCAATCGTCTAGTCTGTCCATCAAACGAGGTCCTAAAGAAAGAAAGAGGTGCTACCGATCGATGTCATGTCGCTAATCAACCAGACTGAACGAGTCACATGGCAGTCCAACCCAGTTGTGTTACTCCATCACCATGGTACTGCCCATTGGTTTCTATCCGAGAAGAGATAGTATGGACTGAATTGCGAACACGCGGTAACGTCCGACCCTCAGCCTGCCCGATTCGAGTGGTCGAGAATGGTGCGCCTTGTTCTAGAGCCAATCCAGCTGATAAACCACTGTAACGAAGAGACGGAAAAAGTGCGGCTCTAAAGAGATCGGGACTGCATCCGTTTCGATCGCATCATTGGTAGTCGCCCACCGTGGGGCTCGAACCCACGACCACAAGATTAAGAGTCTTGCGCTCTACCAACTGAGCTAGACAGGCTTCGCACACGCGCGCACACTTCTCCGAAAAGTCACGCAAACAAACGCCCACGGGGTTTGCCATGCTCACCTGTCCATCATCACAGCCTCCTCCATCCACTCGTGTCATGGCGGATCGATCATCTTGTCTGTCCATCAAACGAGGTCCTAAAGAAAGAAAGAGGTGCTACCGATCGATGTCATGTCGCTAATCAACCAGACTGAACGAGTCACATGGCAGTCCAACCCAGTTGTGTTACTCCATCACCATGGTACTGCCCATTGGTTTCTATCTGAGGAGAGATAGTATGGACTGAATTGCGAACACGCGGTAACGTCCGACCCTCAGCCTGCCCGATTCGAGTGGTCGAGAATGGTGCGCCTTGTTCTAGAGCCAATCCAGCTGATAAACCACTGTAACGAAGAGACGGAAAAAGTGCGGCTCTAAAGAGATCGGGACTGCATCCGTTTCGATCGCATCATTGGTAGTCGCCCACCGTGGGGCTCGAACCCACGACCACAAGATTAAGAGTCTTGCGCTCTACCAACTGAGCTAGACAGGCTTCGCACACGCGTGCACACTTCTCCGAAAAGTCACGCAAACAAACGCCCACGGGGTTTGCCATGCTCACCTGTCCATCATCACAGCCTCCTCCATCCACTCGTGTCATGGCGGATCAATCGTCTTGTCTGTCCATCAAACGAGGTCCTAAAGAAAGAAAGAGGTGCTACCGATCGATGTCATGTCGCTAATCAACCAGACTGAACGAGTCACATGGCAGTCCAACCCAGTTGTGTTACTCCATCACCATGGTACTGCCCATTGGTTTCTATCTGAGGAGAGATAGTATGGACTGAATTGCGAACACGCGGTAACGTCCGACCCTCAGCCTGCCCGATTCGAGTGGTCGTAATTCGCACGGAACAGTTTCAGTGAATACATCCTTGAGTTCAACCAAATCTTCATAGAGAGGATTTGTCTTGAGCGATTCCCACGATTGGGAGTCATATCGCTCAATTCGTGTCTTTTCATCTAGGACACTCTCGTCCATCGATGAACTACTGAGAACTCTCTCGCTCTCAGTAAACACTGTTGCTGACCTTATGTCGGTTACACACTCGTCGTCAGCGACGAGTATGCAGATCTGCTTGACTTTGCCACTACGCAGATCACGCAAGAACCTTTTATGTTCGAGCGTTGGCAACTGAGTGATCTCCGAAGTCAACTTCGGAGGCGCAATCAGATCAAGTGTATAAGCGCCCACACTTGATCCGTCATTGACTATGACATTCAATTTCTCTGTCATTTCCTGGGGACTTATTCCCTCAGGCCTCGAAAGACTTATTCCTTCGGCTTCCCGGGGACTTATTCCCGCGGGTTTCGGGGAACTTATTTCTACCGTATCTGTAATATCGGGACTTATTCCCTTAACTTCCTCTAGCTGGGGTTGCGCAATCACAGCGAGATCCTCTACGAAAGACTCTCCAGTCGATCTAGGATTATCGTTTCGCTTAACCTGATCGATCGATTGTTTCTCTTCTAGATGTTCCCCACTAGGGATACATCTTTGTCCCGGTCCACTCGACTTATTCGAGTGGCGGACCTTCGGCGCAGCCTATGTTTCCTCACAGCCGCTGGAATATTGCTCCAAAGTATAACTGTTTGTTACACTAAGTTTCGTGCAGTCGTACTAACGACCGTACCACAAGTGAGGCCATCGCACTCACTCGTAGTACATCCACACGCTTGTGGACGCTCCAAAACGTTCATCAGATGGACATCTGATAAACAAGCGGCAGGCATCGTTAATGTTTGATGTTGCCAGTTTACTCGTGGTTCGTACCTTCTGAGCCACGGTTGTCCAAGGATGACATCAAAGTTGTCATCCAAATCCAATACGATAAAGTCATCGTCATATTGGGTATCTTCTAGCGTATAGTGAATCTTCACTATACGCTGCATGACTTTTACGTATGCGCCTGTCGCAAGACGTACTGTCATCCTCGTAGGAGGTGTGTCACATTCACTGAACTTAAATTGACCATCTTCTAGCGATTGGCGTGGCACAAAATTGTTGGACGCCCCGCAATCGACTAGAGCTGGAAGGGACGATTTATTTGTCACTTCGAGTTTCACGGTAATGAGTGAGATCGCAAAACATAGAGCAGCAACGCAAAACGTTTGTGTGTTGGGAGCAACCTTCATCAAGAGGCCTACAAATTCTCTTGACGTTGCTGGACCAGTAGGGTGCTCTGCACCTACTGATCCTGTCCGTTTTTTGACGGTCCATCCCATTGTTGCGTCTTTGCACCAACAGCGGACCCTCGTCCCTGCCCCTTTCTCATGGGTGGACGGTCACTACGCCCAGTGTTGCGAGACACTGGACGAGGGCACTACACTCGTAAGCGTAGTGTCCTGTCTTTTGACATCTCTTGCATCTCTGCAACTTCTTGTAGTCTGTAGAGCGAGCCTTCTCGCTCTCTACATAACAGAGTTCCATCGGCTCTGGACCTCCGTTGTCATATCGTCTCGGTTGACGATATGATGTCGAGCTGGCGCGAGCCTGTCTCAGACTGAAGTCTTCCTGTTCCGCAATGGAAATGGCTTGTTCTAGTGAATCTAGTTCAAGCCGGAACATGTGAGTCTTGACGGGACCATCCGCAAGACCCTGCATGAAAACCGAAGCCAACGTGTGTTCATCCACCGGATTGGAAATTATACAACTCGTGAGATGTCGTACATGTCGTGCGTAAGCGTGCACATCACGCTTACCCTGCTTGAGCTTCAAGAGTTCAGTTCGAGCTCTGAACTCAGCTCTAGGCGGCTCAAACGTTTGTCTGAGCCCCGAATTGAAGACTTCCAACGACCCAAACGCATATGGGTCGTGCAACTTGAGCCCCAAAGTCCAAGTCTTGGCACGTCCTGCCAGATTTGACTGGGCAAATGCAACTTGCATTTCCCCGTCTTCGATGCGACGCGCCCTTATGGTGTCATCCAATTCGACGAACCATCTCAAGAGGGAGTCCTCTTCGACTCCCCTATACTTGGAGATGTCAATCTTCAAGGTCTCGGGTCGACGCGAGTGCATCGACCCACCAGCAGCAGCCTGCTGCTGTCTCAACAGTTCAAACTGTTGAGCACCCTATTCTCTCAACAACTCTGATTGCTGAGAACCTTGTTGGTGAAGCAAGGCTACTTTCTCGCGTTCTGCGTCAAGTTCATTTTGAATGAACTTGGCGATAGTAGCATGTTGGGCATCTCTATTGAGAGCTTCTAGCATGACGCTAACAGCATGGATGCCCATGGTTGAACCCATTCGTTCAACCGCATCCCATTCGACATCGCTCAAATGGGAGTAGCCGTCACGCGTAGCGTGAAAGCTTTGTTCACCTTCATCATCTAACATATTCATGTTGGATGTGAACGCGGTCCTTGGACGGACTACGAAGTGCTACCAGGTGTAACGGGGCACCCTGAAGCTTGTACTGATGACAGTACAAGCTACTCATTCTGATGACAGAATAAGGCGGTGCCTCGTAACTTCACGTACACTGGTACGTGCAGAAGACGACGGTAAGGAGAAGCGAGTACTTGGTTAAAGTAAAAAGTAGAACTGTATTTGTCATAGTTAATGTCTGCAATAAATCACTATTTATCTTCATCTAACTATGTCTGAATACAAATGTGTAAATCAGTTATCTGCTCACCACTCATTGCGTGCGTCTGTCGTGGCGCGTCTTCGTTGGTTGATATAATGGCCTATATCAACCAATTAGGAACTACTCGTAAGTGCTGCAGAATATTTGTCCTTATGACAATATTCTGAGAATAAAACTCTTATAGTTATATTCTATTAACAATTTCTTATAAATTGTCATGTAATCATTCACCCCGTTACATGGCTAGTTCTCTTCATTAAAACTTTTTGAAACAGTGTCGTTACAGCGCGAGCCTTTGCGTATCGATCTTGTACCGTAAAAACTTGTGATTTTCGTAACAATATGTCTTCCTCGTGGATGAGTGAGAGATAGAACATAGGTAAGGCGTTAAGACAAAATTCGACAAGCGTTTGTAAAACTCGGTGTCGTGGTGTTACGATCATGCTTTATCACCTCAGACACTAGTGGCGGTCCCCTCTACGTCTCGACAACCTGCGCCCATACTCGCAACATAATAAACAAGATATGCCCTTTTGAGCGCACGGACGTTAAGTTCATTTTATGCGTTGCCAAGCAACATTTCGTAGTGCACACACTTCCTGATTCTGGTTGTCAGTCCATACCGACTTAACAGCCATCATGACGATTCTATTGCTGTTCTAGTTTAATAAGATCAAAAGAAACTCTTTTAACAGTTGCAATTGCTTATACAGAAGGCTACATCCGCAAAGAGGCCGATCGATGGTTTATCAAAAGTACGACCCTGCAATGTTAAACCGCGTACGCTATGCATAACAGGCTCCTATCCGACTTGCTTCCCACGACCGAGCCTATCTTCCTGTTTTGAAGCAAACAATGAGAATTTTATAATTTCAAGATGTTGAAAAGTATACAAAACGTAGGGAAGGCATGGTGTGATCGAACCGAAAGTGGAGCTCGCACCGACAAACAGGTTGTTTATAACTGTACATCGATTATATGTACAAATATGTATGAAAAAGCTAAGCCTCAACGATTGTGACCGACGAAAAAGTATCTTCAGACCGCAACTTAAGTCAGAACGCTCCAAAAGTAGATCGCACGGACCTTAAAGACCATCTGTTATTAGAATCGCGCGATCAGTCCGCGTAAATAACCGAAAGCAACTTCTGCAAAAGTTTCTTATGAGTTTTGTATTGTAGGGAAGCTATACAGCTCTTCAAGTCAGAGAAAGACTTAGTGCCTAAAGAGCTATGTTAGTTTTACAGAACTAGACTTATGATTCAACAAGCGTACAGCTTAAGGTCAATGTTCAAGGGGACCAATCGATTAAGTGAATCTACAGCACTTAGTGCTCGAGAGTAGCTACCTCGGGAGGTGCTGCTAACTCTTAACGATCAACGATCCGAGACGCCTCGCAGGGCACGCGTCTTAGACAAGATCAAAGAGGAAACTGAGTTATTTATACGTTTAATCTGTAATATCTTTCAATTCTAATACTACCTAGTCCAGGGACGCATGTCCTAAATTAATATCTTCAAGATATTTTCTATCTTGTGGCTGACACCCGTCAGCCCCTATAAACCATTAAGATATTATTTACCTTTTTCAGTGGGATACCATCCCGTGTGTCTAAGACACAGAATACCGAGTACCCTACGATGAGTAACCCCTTTACACCCTTAATCACAAGACTGACATTTACCCAAACGTCAATCGAGCTTTGTTTCCCAATGAGGTTAGTGCGCTTGCAGTTAACCTCACGGTAACGCAACGATTTAGCACCATGCCCTAATCGTCTAACGAGTCAAATACTCTCTGTGCATACCTCGATATGGAGGAGGCAGTGGACTATATTAGCGATAGCAGTATCCCGGGTGATGAAAGGACAACGTCCGATGCACCCATGCCTGAGGTACAACCTCCTACTGCGTTAAGTCCTTTCTTTGAACGTGATGATATGAATGCGCCATTGGCGCTGCATTCAACACCCGGTTTGGATGATGCAATCATCACCAACCCGCTTGATGAGCGGCGACAGCTGACTTTCAATGAGAAGGAAGCGTTCGGTGCCATGCACGAATGATCACGACCCTTGCGACCAGTGTGAATGTGTGTTCACTTCACTCAGTGTGGAGGAACGTCTACGTCAAATGGCTGGCGAAACGTTGCTAACTTGCTGCTTCTCTCGAGGAAGTATCAAGTGGTCAGGCACTTCGTGAGAGGTACATGTGCCGTATCTGACAACGCGAAGTCAGTACAATGCACGCCTTGAGATGCACGCACATAGTGCACCGGCTCAATCGATAAAGGTATACCCATTCTCTTGTTTGCAGGTGAAACAACGGAAGATAAAGACGAGGACTTCGCTCGTTGGGTGCGCCGCACTGGTCGCCCCATCACTATGTACACTCTGAGAACTAGTACAATTGTGGCCGATGTGCGTCTAGAACGCAGCTTCAGTATGATTTTGCCAAGCTTAAGGCCAGATGCCTACTGCGCAATCGCATGCACTATGCTTCGGCTACTGATGTAGCCGCAAGTGATGACCAGATTGTGACCACTAACCCTCCAACCCACACCACTAGTGGTGGGAAACGGCCTTGGTCTCGAGATGACACTGGCCACGATGTTCAAAAACATCCACGGTTTACGGACATTCTTACCGACGGGGGGTATCATGCTCTCATGAGTTCTTCGACTCTGTTACCCGCGCCACTTCACCAGAACTGGTATTGGCCATGACGACGACGTCGTTTCAGGATTCTATACACATGGAACCGGTGGTTTCCTTGCTCATCGAGCAGCGTCGGTGGAGGTCGGTTGACCAAAAGAGGAACCTGAAAATGTACTTCTCGAGCAAAGTGGTCTCCTTGAGACATTGTGTAACACCTAGTGTACGCTTGTCACGATGCAATCTCGCGTTCAGGTGTTGGAGCCGCGGTCATACCCGAATGGGATCCCTGCTTGACCTCCTGATTCGAAATCATCAACCGATGGCGAGGCCAACTTCCGCGGCGCAAGCGACTCAAAGCTCACGCGGGACGGATCCCGATACAACTTAAGCAAGCAACGTCTAACACAAGATGTACGCGCAATTTTCATAGAAGGTTTAGCGTACGCGATTCCCTGCTTAGCAACGACCGTGAATAGTCCAACGAAGTGCGGACGCAACTTTGTCCTGAAGACAAGGGACACTACATTTATAAACAGGCTTCTAGAGCTGAGTAATACTTGGTTTTCGAACCGACAACGTGCAATACGACCCCTTTTTTAGTATCTGCTTGTTGTTTTCACTGGAACTGGCTTTCATCCATTGCGTCACAGACATGTTTCAAGACATCCAATCGCGTTAAGAGAAACTCGCAACCTGTTTTTGAATAGTAGCAGGGCTGATATCAGCAAGTCGATCGGCAACCTCTCCTTCACCAAGCCCTGTACCACATAGTTATGACGTTAATGGAACGCAATGGTGGATGAAATCGTTTAATTAGAATGGACTATAGCCTATTGAGGCATAAGAAATGTTGTCTAACGCACACTCAGCAACAGGGAGCATGGAACTCTAACGTTTACGCGTGCCAGCGCAAACACTGCGCAAAATGCCAATAATGACGCGATTGACACGCCCAGACCATCGATCTGCGCATGATCCGCTGTAGACATGTCCAACCGGTTGTTAAGCACATTGAAGATGGGCTTTAAAAAATTCCAGTGAAGCGAGGATTTTCATCAGAAACGATTGCCACTTGCAAACCATGTTGTCGAAACACGCGCTTAATAACCAGCTTCGCTGTACCTTTGGCATCAATAGAGTCTAGCACTGCCACCCGATTAGCCATATTGCTCAATCGGTCAACAAAGACCATAATGCCAGTGTTGTCTTCCAAATATTTCGGTAGGCCAAACAAAAATTCCGTACTCATGGACTCCCAAAACCCAGTGATTACAGGCTGACTATCTAGCGGCGCCGCCGCACGAGCGGAAGGTTTGACCCGTTGACACGTTTCGAACGTACGCACATAAGTGCTCACCAACTTGTACAGTTTGAGCCATCTATTTTCCTGTCTCACTGAGTTAAAGATCTTCTCACGACCGAGAAGACCACTTAAAGCGGTATCATGTGCCTCATAGAGGATTCGATACTTTAAATTCTCATCATGAGAGACAGCGATACGAAAACTATCCTCAATATCTGTGCGATAGCACAACAGGTCTTTATCGATAGAATATTGATGTAGGTTTGCGCACAAGTGCGCCGAAAATTCTATGTCCGGGTCTTCAAACGCGTTGCTCAATTGAGCCCTTAGAAAAACTACACACATTGTATACTCGGCATAATCCACACGGATTGATTCAATGAATGACAACGACAGCGTAGTGACGTGAGCAAGCTCATAGTCAGGTCAGCGCGATAGCGCATCATTTAAATCATTTTGCTTCTCTGGATTACACTCCACTTCAAAGTTATATTCGTCAAAGAATGAAAGCCAACAAGACATTCTCTGAAAGATGCGGCGAATGTGTCGCAGAGCGCAATGAAGATTGATCTGAATAGATCACAAATGGCTTTGAGCTAAGCAGATGTAGTCTGCATTTGACTAGAGCTTACTTTAAAGCAAGTATATCTTTGTCATTAAAATAGATGATTCTTTTCGAAGCTTTGAGATGTCGAGAATTGAATGTAATGACGCGTTCGCGTTCACCAACATCTGCTTGTAAAAGATCACTGCCTATAAAACACTAATATGCGTCATAGACGACACTAAAAGGCCGATCAAGACCGGACAAGCCAGTATTGGCGTATGACGAAGACTTTCATAACTGTTTTAAAAGCACTGTGTTCAATGTTACCCCAACACTGATCCACATCCTTCTTGAGGATATTGGATAATGTTCGAGCCATATCTGCGTAATTTGTACTACATTTACGAAAGTAATTGGCAAGGCCAAGCGACTTGCGTAAATCTCTTGGGTCTATGATACTGGCCAATCGATTATGACCCTTACCTTAGCGGGTTCCGCTCAAATATCTCGCTTCCCAATGAAGCATCTCAGAAAAGGAATCTCTTTCGCACCAATATGCGCTTCGATGTTTTTGCATACAATTTTTTCGTGTGCATGCACTCGAGCACCGCTCGTAAATGATTAATGTGATTTTCAGATCATATCGACAGTTAGTTGCACGAATATGGACAGTGATGTCGTCAAAGCACGTTTTTGTATAGCTTTGATAAGGTTTGAACAGTTGCGTCACTAGACTATCAAAAGATTCAGGGGCATTAGACAGCCCTTGTGGCATAACGAACACGTTCCAGAGAATACAGCTAAAGATAATAAACGCTGATAGCAGAATCTCGCTTGCTTGCAGGAGCAGCTGATAATGACTATCTATCCAGTTAAGCTCACTGTACAATGTACACCCCACCCTATTGTTCTGAAGGTCGTCCTTTCTGGGGATCGGTGCCTGAGCCGGGATAGTGGCAGCATTAAGCTTAGTGCAAGCATGGAAAATGCGCCAATTTCCATTTAGCTTTCTGACACAAAATGAGGATGTGAATGGAGAGATTTACTTACGTGCACCATTTCAGCCGCGTGCTTTGCACGATAGAAATTATCAATGACGTCACTCTATTCCTCAGGTAAAGGCCACTGCCGTGTTACGCAGTTATTGGCTTCGGGAACTAAGTCAATTTCGTGACGTACACCTCTTTCGGGAGCTAAAACCGATAATGGATTGTGACACACCACATCTAAAACTTCCTTTATCAAAGAATTGAATGGATACGAAGGATATATAAGGATCAAAGATACACTCCGGGCACATAGTGACGCCTCGGTTTTCTCCAGGACCGACTCATCCATTAACGAGGACTAGTTTAACTCGACGTCTGGTCTAATGGCCAATAATTTAAATAAATCTCCTGCCTTCAAGTACTGGCTAAACTCGCCATCAGATAGTTCGTTTCTCTAGTTCACAAAGAGCATCCAAAGACAAAAGAGGTTTTAGGCTGACAGTGCTCAACCTGGCCAGTCACTCCGTTGACAAGTGTATATAGTGTATCAATATTTTCACTATGCGACTCCTTGGACTCTTGGCGCTTAACAGTTGCCACCCAGCGTCCTGGTCGTCTCTTCGATTAGACCTTACAACCCTCTGGGACACAGAAAATATTGTCTTTGTGTTTGCTAGTAGTAGTAAGCTCTATACGAGAGCTGATGTCTCGATCGACATCCGGTGAAGTGATATGTAACTCGAAAACCTCAAATAGAGAACTGAAACATGTCATTTCATGTACATTATACGGATTTAGCCCTGAACGAATTGGCGTTTCGCCAACAATGTCATTACCGACATAAAGCAAGGTGCCTTCACGGCCGCCCGCACTTGGTCCATTTTCAGATGCCACCATACCAACATCAAAAGGGTTAAATCCTTAAATTCTTGCTCAAGGCCAACCATGATTACAGCATGCAGTGACTCGTTCTTTCGACGAGTAAGACTTAACAGAGCTCGTTCCATATCACCAAAACTCAACGAACTATGCTTGGAATTCATGTTTTTAATCTTTATTTAACACAGAAATTTCAATGTCCAGCACAGTGACATATTCTGTCAAAGTCTCGCGCCAAAAGTGCTTGGGCTGCCTAGAAAGGTTTGTTACGTGACTCTTTAATTCTTCGTTAGGAACATTGTGCTTAGAATTTAAGTTGTCAGACCACCAATGAATCTATGGCTCATGGTGCTCAAGACAAGCCAAAACGAGGATGAGATCACATCTCGAAACCAAAAAAAGGACAAGTCAGCGTTCAATGCTATATGAATATTCTGCGTAGCACCTAAGGTATCAGACCAACAATCAATCCATGGCTCATTGTGCTCAAGCCAAGCCATAACAAGGATGAGATCACACCTTGAATCCAAATCAAGGACAAGACAACGTTAAGTTCTATCAAAGTCCAAAAACTTTACACCTTAGTCAAACGGAACTTTAGGTACAGCAACACGACTTCCGGTCGCTATACGAATCGTGATTGAATCAACCTCATGTGCTGTAAGCGCATCAGCATAACAGAGACTTCCCT